TTGTTGTTAAAGATTGGAGAGCAAAATATGCATTAAAATAAAGGAATATTACAAGGTCATCACAAAATATCATTATATATTTGTATTTAGTGGGGGGTATAGAGGTTGCCTTTACAAAATATTTAAAAAAAAAAGATTACATTTTTACAATAATGAAAAATATAATATTCAAAGGAGGAGGAGAAGGGTTCTTCATTGAATGACAAGGAGGAGGTAGCAGAGGGGTTGTCCATGTCATCGTATTTGATGTGCCTATCATCAAGTGATAAGTTGACCTTGTTGTTAAGGCCGTCGAAATGAGCCAGGACATAGGGAAGGAGGGTAGGGAGGGGAGGAGGGAAAGATGGAGGATGAGGTGGGACGGTTTTCTACTATTTTGACATTGTAAGGCTACCAACAATATTAGATGAAGAAGATGGAGAACGAGAAAGATAGTTGGCTTCTAAGCTTAAATAGATGGTCACAAGGCATGGCTAATAGTTTAGATTACTTTGGAAAAACAAAAAGGCAAGAGATAGGCTGATGTAAAGATTAAAAATATCAGTTGTCTATAATTACCGATGTCATTAAATTAACATTACACCAGTTGGATTAACATTTGATGTAAAAAGTAATAATGACACTGGGCATTATTATAAGGGGTTTAAATTGCATTGTTTTTTACAATAATGTCACTACCTCATTTATTACACTGTTGGCACAATAACCGAGGTAGATTAGGTGACATAAAAGAATATTTTTCTAGTAGTAGTGTGAGGTTGAGAGGGATTTTTGTGCTTCAGACACTAACAATAATTCATTTTAATTAAATATTCTCTCCTTAGTTGTGTTGTTTTGTTTTTTTTATTTTGCATCTTATTTGAAGATTGTACTCTTGAGACTTTAAGGGACAACAATATTATTATTAGGTCAAGAAACTGTGTTTCTAAACAATGTCTAGAGTACTCGTGAAGCAACTTTGGGATACTTCATACCACCTACCCATCACAAACTAATAAAACAAAGTGGGAAATATTGTTAATAGGACAATTGTGCCTAAGCAATGGACGAACATGGGATTTATATATAATAGGGAGACATTTATCCTATTGCTCCGAATTATCTTTTTGAGATTTTTCATAAATCATTTGCAACAGTTTGCTTGATTTTCCTTATATGCAGCAAAGCGCTAGCTTTATGGAAATAAATGAAAGATTTTTTACTTTAGAGATTGGATTTTCAAAACAACGTTGCATTCAAGAGGTGATTAAAGAGTTTAAGGCTTTTACACTTCGAATTAGAGTTTGGACAAAAGTATCATGACTTGGAAGACTCATTTTGAGCTTACTATGATGATTAAATTTAGCTCATTATATGGACGAAAATTAGAATTTAGTTGACACATTTGACCTTTGAATTTTCCATGTTCATTGAATCTTTGTATTTCAAGTCATTGTGGTTTTCCTAGGTTAGCATTAACTATGTATTTTGAGTCTTTAGGTTTATATTTTGTAGGCAATCAAGTTTGAATCAAATTAAACTTTAAAATACGTCGTACCCATTATTTGTAATTAAAAATTTCACGACTTCTTGGAATATGAATGACATTTTCTACATTCTAGAACCTTTTGACTTGAGAGGTTGGAACATGAATTTTCTCTATGAGAATTACTGCATTTTAGTGTTTGATGGAGTTTAGAATAACATTGCCTCCAATAAATAAAAATACATGTGCCTATAGAAAAATTGAAACGATTTATAAACTTAAAAGAGATCCGTTTTGAATTGAAAAAGTGTTTTTCACAAATGCATCAAGGTGTTTGGAAGCTAACTTAAAAGAAATATTTTTACACAAATCAAGACTAAACTCATGTTACATATTTACTTTTGTCAAACTCTATAAAATCACTTTTAAAAATCTCACTCAAACATTTCTGTTAAGAGGTGTTAAAACGTTGGGCCCTGTAGTCTATAAATAGGAGTGACTGGGTCTATTACTTGTAGTGGTTGTATTTCATGGCTGTGTGGCCCCTTTGTTAATTATATGTGTAGTATTTAGTTTATGTTACTCTTTACATGGTACCAGAGCGGGTTCGTATAGGCTTAGAAGTAAGAAGCCCAATTCCTGAAGACACCTTAATCAGTCCACAGAATACTGGTGTCTGTGACAACGTCGTCGTGAAGTTCAGTCACTGTGCCCATTTGCTGTTATTTGTAGCCCTAGTTGCAATTCGTTTGAGTAGTCACTGCTTGCTTCGAGTATCTGTCAGCTGTTGTTCTTGTAATTCCTACCTCAAGATCGTTGCCTTCATCGTCACTGGTATCTCCTCAGAATTTGTTTGATAAAAGAACCGTTCTTGTGCTATTGGCTCTTGTTTTCCTTCATCTTGAACAACCACCTTGTCGATCCCAAAGTCTATTAAGTTGCTATGGGTAAAGAAGATGATACAACGGCAAACATGCACACACTTGTAGACTTCACCCATCCCCTGTATCTTCATCGTCTGACACCCAATCCGTGACCTTGGTATCTCAAGTGCTACGGAAGCCGACAACTATGAAGTATGGAGTGGATCAGTTAAACTTTCCCTTCTTGCCAAGAATAAAATGGAATTCATTGATAGAACGTGTACTTGAGAGAAACAGGATGCAAATCTTTGAGTTCTTTAGGATTGGTGCAATGCTATCATCCTATTTTGGCTTGTGAATTCGAAGGACAAGCAAATAGCCACCAGTATAATCTTCTTCAACAGTGCAAGATTGGTATGGTTAGACTTAAAGGATCGCTTCCACAAGGCCGACGGTATGCGCATCTTTGCCTTATACAAGAAAATCAATTCCATGACCCAAGGCACTGTAAGTGTATCTGAATACTATACCTAGCTTAAGGGTCTCTGGGATGAGTATGCTGCTATCATGCCTCTGCCTACCTGTCAATGCAATACCACCCAAGAATACACCAAGACAGTCCAATAACAACGATTATTTCAATTCTTGATAAGACTAAATGACAATTTCCATCAGGCCCAAACATAGCTCCTCCTTCAGTCACCACTTCCCACAGTTAGCTAGGCCTACTCTATGATATGTCAGGATGAGTCCCAACAATATATTTCTACCCATACCAATAACTCCTCCTTTGACAACGAAACCATGGTAGCTCATGGTAGAAGACAAGGCAGGGGTTGAGGACAAGAAAGAGGAAGATCCCTTGAAGAGTGTTCCTACTATCATCGAAGAGGCCACAAAAGGGAAATTGTTATGAATTGGTCGGTTTTCCCACAAATCTTTGATCGAAACAGGCTCAGAATCCTACTGCTATTCATCTTACCACCACCTCGTCTTCGCCTTCTCCTCAATCAAGTCAGATGCTCCTCACTTAAGACTGATATGATCAAATATTGAAGCTTCTATGAAAGGAGCTAGATGACATAGCCATTGGAACAACTAACTATTTGGAGGAGACTATCTCAGGTATTTTTCTGTTCTGCTGTCCCTAGTCATTCTGTCTGTGATCTAATTGGATTCTTGACTCTAGGGTAACATGTCATGTTGTAAATAGTTTGAGCATGTTTAATACAGTAGACAACATTCAGGTCCTATTAGAGTAATAAGTAGGTCCCTAATGGTGATAGGATGTTGATCAACCCGCGTAGGCACTATTAAATACTTGATACCATTATCCTAAAGGATGTTTATTATGCTATTGGCTGTTGTTATAACCTCATTTCTATATCTAAATTGACAGCCAGTAAGAATTTGTAGTTTCCTTTTACTTTGATTATTGTACAATGCAAGACATATCAATGGGAAAACAAGGAGGATTGTAGCCTTTATGGTGGTATCTATCATTGAGAAAGTTAACAAGATGGACAATGTGATGCATGTCTCTTCTAAACAAGTCACTTGGCATAATAGTCCCATGAGCAAACTCAGATATCTAGACTCAATTCAAATAGAAATTCCTATTGTTACTAATGAGAAATGTATTGTTTGCTCTCATGCTAAACAAACCCAGTTACCTTCCCTTCTAGTACTTCTAAAACACACAGCAGTTTGATGAATTATTAATGTAGATGTTTAGGGACCCTATAGGGTTCACAATTATAGAGGACATTGATATTTTTTGACTGTTGTTGATGATTTCTCTTGTTGTACTTGGACTTTCTAATGATCAATAAAAATGAAGCCATTTACAAATTTGAAGACTTTCTTGCTTTATGTTGCTACTCAATTCTCCTTTGTTGTCAAAAAGTTTAGAATCACTAATGGTTTAGAATTTCTTAATGCTGAATTGAAATCACATATCACTAGTAAAGAAATAGTACATGAGACTTCATTTCCTTATACACCCACAACAAAATGGGGTGGTTGAAAGAAACATCAACATTTCTTAGAGGTTGCTAGGAGTCTTATTTTTCAGTCTCATGTTCCTTTAAAATTTGGGGGAAGCTAGACGTATGACCACCTACTTGATTAATAGGACTCCTTCTTTAGTTTTAGCCAACAAAACTCCCTATGAAGTTCTGTACCACCATCAACCTGATTTGTGCGCCTTAAGGGTCTTTGGTTGCCTTGCTTTTGCTACCATTCTACATCATCATGATAAATTTTAGCTCTATTTTGAACCTTGTGTTTTTATTGGGTACCCACCTAATCAAAATGGTTGCTTACTATATAACTGTCAATCCAAAACAGTCCATGTTAGTAGAGATGTTATCTTTGAAGAATCTAGATTTCCTTTTAACGATGTAGTGGGCCTCAAATTCAATCAAGGGGGAGACAGTGATACTTAAGTGATTGATCCCTTTAGTAGCACAAATCACATTTATGATCCTGAACCAATACCTCTACCATTAGTTAGATCTAACAATCATGATAACCATCAAGGACCATTCAACGAGGCTGGAGATCCAATAGATGTAGAAGCTCCTCTATTACCAACTAGACCAGACCGTGAGAAAAGGAAACCCACCTGGATGAAAGACTATGTGTGTCATACAAACACAACCTTTAAGTCAATGGTAGGTTATGCTTGTGTTTTGGATGCAGACCACATGTTGATGACAAAGGTAAAACCGGTAAGGTATCCAATGCAATCATACTTATCTTATTCAGATATATCACAAGAATATAAGCATGTTTTATCTAGTCTTGATAGCATTACAAAACCATCTAGCTATGAGCAAGCCGCTAAGGATCCTAGGTGGATTGATGCAATAAAGGCAGAAATAAAGGCCTTGCAAGACAATGGTACTGGAAATTGTCAATCTGCCCAAAGGAAAGAGACCCATTGGTTGCAGGTGGGTCTATAAGGTAAAATACAATTCCAATAGTGAGATAGATAGGTTTTAAAGCATGATTAGTTGCTAAGGGATATAGTCAACAAGAAGGAGTTGACTAGTTTGAAACTTTTTCACCTGTGATAAAAATGGTTGCAGTTCGAATTGTTCCCAATATTACTGTGATACATGGCTGGAATCTTTATCAAATAGATGTTTATAATGCCTTTCTTTAAGGTGACTTGAGGGAAGAGGTTTACATGAGAGTTCCTCAAGGATTTGGTCAAATGGAAAAAATAAGGTTTGCAAATTGACCAAGTCCCTATACAGTTTAAAGCAAGCTTCTAGGCAATAGAATGCTAAGCTTAGTGAAGCTCTCATACAAGCTGGTTTTAGGCAAAGTATGTATGATTGCTTATTGTTTGTTAGGCAAACTGACTCTAAAATAACCTTAATCTTAGTTCATGTGGATGATCTTGTTATCACAGGAAATCAAGCAAATAAGATTGATGAAGTAAAACAATTTTTCCATAACAGGCTTAAAATTAAGGATTTAGGTTAGCTCAAGTATTTCTTAGGAATAGAAGTAGCTAGATTAAGGCATGGGATAATACTTAATCAAAGAAAATATACTTTAGACATATTGACTGACATGGGTTTGACTGCAGCAAAGCCACTTGGTATACCTATGGAACAGAATGTAAGATTGAGTAGCAAGCCAAGAAATCCGGAAAAGGATGCTTTGATCTCAGATCCAAGCATGTACAGCACTTGATGGGTAAGCTGTCATATCTCACTGTGACTAGGCATGATATAAGCTTTGTTGTGCAGGCACTCAGTCAATTCATGAATGAACTGAGGAGATCACATTATACGGTAGCAACAAGAGTAGTCAGATACTTGAAAGGCTGTCTAGGACTTAGAATCAGACTCGCAGCAACACAGAATGCCCAGCTAGAGTGCTTTGTGGATGCAGATTGGGGAACATGCCTAGACGCTAAGAGATCTGTGACTGGATATGTAGTCAAGTTTGGTGGCTCGCCAATATCCTGAAAGTCAAAGAAGCATAATATAGTCTCTAAATCATCTGCAAAAGTAGAATACAGAGCATTAAGCAATGTTGTATTCGAGGTTGTATGGATCAAATGGCTGCTGGAAGACCTTAGAATGAATGATTTGAAATTTGTACGTGTTTATTGTGATAGTAAATCAACAATATGTATTGCAAATAATCCTGTGTATCATGAGAGAACAAAGCATATAGAGATAGACGTTCATTTTGTTAGAGAGAAATTACAGCAAGGAATTATAAGTTTGAATCATGTAAGAAGCAAAGAGCAGCAAGGTGATATCTTCACTAAGGGTATGGGTAAGCAGGATCATAATAGAATTCTGTGCAAGTTAAGTGTTGTAAATCTTTTTGCACTCCAAACTTGAGGAGGAGTGTTAAGAGGTGTCAAGTTATGTAAGGGGGCTTGAGCCAGTTAAGTTGGGCCCTGTAGTCTATAAATAGGAGTGACTGGGTCTATTACTTGTAGTGGTTGTAATTCGTGGCCGCGTGGCCCCTTTGTCAATAATATGTGCACTATTCAGTTTATGCTGCTCTTTACAATTTCGTTAATATATATGTCAAATGAACAATAAAATGAGGTAAGCAACCAATTTCTTTTGTGATGTGAGACCCCACTGCTCAGCCAAAATTGGTAGAATCGAATCACTTTTATTAAATGGTCAATTATATTGTAAATTTAAGAGGCTTATGAACTTTTTTTAACTATGTGTCAATTATTATTTATATTTTTCAATTTTTAAAATGTGTCAATTATTGTTTTTTTTAACTTTCATATCTGTGCATTATGCATTATAATTCGCTCCAGTTAGTTCATTATATTGAACTTTTTTTGGGGCCAACATCCGTAAATCAAAGTTATTTGCATATATATCATCAATATATGGTGCAAAGTTCACATATTTTTTTCCTGTCGAAAAAAAGGTCAAACATTTTTTGACCACAAGTTCAAAGGATTATTATTTATTAGCATATAGCTTAATTTTTTTAAAAAAAAAATCGTCATCGTTGACATCTGATATGATTCATTTATGACATAATAGATTAATGAAGTATAAAACTATTTATAAAAAAAAAAAATTAAGTCTTTTCAATGAAATTTAAAGAGTTCATTATCAAATTTTCAGCAGCAAAATATTTTATAAAATTAAATCGAGCTAACAATTCAATTGCCATGCATGTTGTTAATTTATCTGTTAAAATCACATGGTGAACCCATAGATTACACACGAACTTATTAACATACTTGCACTTTTCTTTAATAAACTTTGATATCTTTATCTTTTATATTTTATTGATAGAGATTATAAGTAAAATGATTTTGTCAAGAGATGGTAGAGCCATCGAATTTCTCTAAAGAATCACAAGTTTCAACTTCAAAAATCATATGCATAAAAAAGTGGTTTTCTAAATACTTCCTCTTAGTCTTTTAATGGATTAAAGAACTTGATGGATTCTCTCACCTTTTATTTGTTTAATCTTTCGTCTTATTTGCTTATCCAAGTCTCCATCCCTCGTACCTTCCTTCCCCATAATTTATTAGATACTTTTTATGAATGTCAACTAAGTATTCACATTTATTTGATGGTCAGAGGCGACTTAAAAGCTAAGCAGTGGTAATTCCTTGTCATGCGTGATATAACTAATTTCTCAAACTCTATACAATATACAGGATGCCACCTTAATTAATTTACAAGGTAAAAAAGTAAATATGAATAGAAGAAGTTTGCCTTCAAGTAGAGGAAATAAAACATCTCAAATTTTTTAAATATGTTGAATTGGTGCCTAATTCCTCTCCAATTCACTCAAATAAAGGGTTATAGTTTTTTTTAAAAAAAAAAATATATCTTTGAAAAGTCACGTGAAACATACCACTGGTGCATCGAAATAAGTGATCAATTCAGAATTGAGAAAAATACAATTTTATCTTTGAATTTAAACATACACGTGCACATGACCTCACACGCACAAATACAAGTGAATACTTTTTGTGTGAACACAAACACAAATCTGAGTTTTACCCGCTCAAAGTAGTTTCTCATTTTGAAAGTCCATTTTTCATCAAATAATTTTTCATAATAAATGCAAATAAATTTTCTTATGAAGTCTAACACACACACATTTTAGTAAAGAGTGAAGAGCGTGATTAGATCAGGGAAGGGGCAATGGAAGGTACCAGAAAGAGAGGCATGGTGGATGTGGGTGGTTCTTCTAGTGCTACAGCAAGTAATAAGAACAAAATCCCCAGAATTCATGAAGCTGAAGCAGATCAATTTTCACCAGATCAGAAGTTTCATCCAGACAAAGATCCTAAGAAGCTCAAAGAGTATATGTTCTTTTTCCCCCCCCCAATTATTTTTCAACACCCCAAATGAAAAGTTTATTTTGATTTTGATAATTGCTTGAAATATATATACCATTTGGCTCAATTTGTAGCTGAGATTTTGGTTTTGAATTTTGATTGAGAATAATCATGCCAAAAAAAGAAGAAGTTACATGCAATATGATATCAAACTTGTTTGAGGATTTTAAATCTCTTATCTTTTCTTGCATAACAGGCTCATAGCGAATCGAGATTATTCACAGAAATTTAGAGTCAAGAGAGCCCAGTATGTGGCTGAATTGGAAGAGGAAGCAAGATCTTTATAGATGAATTTTGCTTCAAGATCTTGTCAATCTTGCTCGAGAAAATTGTTATTATTTTGATCAAATAATTAGCACTGTTCGGTTGATTTAATTGGACAATTTAAATCTGTCGAAAATAATATTTTATTTTCAATATAAAAGAATAAATAAAAGCAGCTTGGATCGAGTGAATGGAAATATTTATTCAAAGTGAATCATTTTCTTATCTTAAATAAAGAGAATGCAAAATTGTAACCGCAATTGCTCCTTGGAATGGCGTTTTTGTCCTAAATTAATTTTCTACAATTGATTCACACTTGTTAAATATTGTAACATGTCTAATATATTTTGAATCCTTTTGCAGATTCATGTTATTAATCTTCGTTCACAAATTAAAGCTTACGAAAATCAGAAATTTTCACTGCAAGCTGAACAACAATCCATGAAATTGAAACGTATTCGTCAAGAAGAAGAGAGAATTGTTAAAGAAGGTAACAAATCTTATCTTCTATTATTGTTGTTGTTGTTGTTATTATTATTAAAACTCTCTATCAAAATGTGTTGTATCTTTAGCGATGAATTTGAATCTCCTAGTGCTATACTACCCAAAAAAAAAAAAGGAAATTAACGATGAAATTTAGTGATGGAATTTGTAAATTTTTATAACAAAAAAATGTCATTAATTAAATTAGCTACAAAATTTTGTCTCTTAACTGGTTTAATCTTTCATCAGTTTCAGCTTTCATTCCTCTTCCTTTTATTCTCTTCTTTATTCCTTTTAATTACTTTGGGAATAATAGATTAATCAACAACATGGATTTTTATAGCTGTACGATCGAATTTGAAAGTTTAGAGGGTTTTCTACAATTTAAAAAAGAAAAAAAGGTCTCTATATATATATGTATATAGCTTAAGTTTATTGAGTTCAACAACTTAATTCATTAACTAAGTTCCCTCCCTAGCTATGATCAATTATTGCAAAGCTCAATTTTTTTAAAAGAAAAAAGGTAATTAGAATTTGATAACTTGTGATTTTGACCGTATATACTATGTGTATATATATATATAGAGAGAGAGAGAGAGTACCATTTGTGATTTAATACTCTGCAATTAAGTGACTTGTAGTTTGAATTGTGATGTATCGCCCTCTTATTTTCCTTTTGTGATTTAAAATTCTGTCTTTAACTAAGTGATTTGTGGTTTCAATGTCATATTACTCTGACTTCAATAACTATTTGATGGAAACGAGACGTGCATGTTACATTTTTTTTGTCAGAAATTTATTTTGGCCATAAATATAAGGGTTAAGGTGCACCCAGCACCCCCAAGTATTTTGTCAGGTGCACCCAGTGGCCTAAAGTAATTTATGGTGCAATTTTGCCCTCAAAGTAATTAAAATGGTGCACTGGTATCCCATGCTAACAGATCTGTTAGTTTGACCGTTAAATTGATGAGTCAGCACAAGTTTGACCAGAAAATCTGACGTAGCATGTCTAATAAGCAGGTGATGTGGAATTTTTTTGGGGTTAAGGTGCATCCAACACCCCCAAGTATTTTTCCAGGTGCAACCAGTGGCTTAAAGTAATTTATGGTGCAATTTTTCCCTCAAAGTAATTAAAATGGTACACCAGTATCCTATGCTAACAGATCTCTTACTTTGACTGTGAAATTGATGAGTCAGCACAAGTTTGACCAAAATAATTTGACCTGGCATGTCTAATAAGCAGGTGATGTGGAATTTTTTTCGTCTGCCACTGTTTTGTTTTCTCTATTCAGTAAATGCACTCTTCGGCTCTTGGAATTTTTTTCAAAGTAAGAAATTTTTTCAGAGATACTCCTCTAGTCCTATTTATAAGGTAGAGAGAAAAGATATTTTTTGGTCCTATTTATAAGACACTGGGAGAAATTTTTTGTATGGATGTATAAATTTACACCTCATTTATTATTGTATTGACTTTGTTTATATGAGGTATAATGTATATTAAATAGGGATAAAGTTGGAAAGTTATTAAAATTTAAATGAGAGTTAATGAAATTTAGGGTTTTCCTTGGTCTGTGTGAAACATGCTGGAAGTGCCTTATAAATAAGACCAGAGGAGTAATATTCAGACAAAACAATGGAATTAACAAGAAAAGTCATGTCACCTGCTTATTAGACATGCTAGGTCAGATTATTTTAGTCAAACTTGTACTGACTCATCAATTTCACAGTCAAAGTAACAGATCTGTTAGCATGGGATATTGGTGCACCATTTTAATTACTTTGAAGGCAAAATTGCACCATAAATTACTTTAGGCCACTGGGTGCACCTGGAAAAATACTTGGGGGTACTGGATGCACCTTAACCCCGAAAAAATT